TGCAACAGTCGAACCGGCGACAGTTACGCAAATGCAGAGTTAAAATGTATAAGTAAAAGTTCTTCATAGACAAGGCAACAAGTCAGTTAGCCACATAAGACGCTCGCWCAGTCAGATGAGATCCAGCTGCACAATAAGAATGCTTAAGTAGTATTGAAGCGTCGGTCTGTAGATATGTATATGTAGATAGAATATAACGCTTAATTTTATATATCAAATGCACAATAAGTTTATTTAAAAAATACATTACTATAAATTACAACTTAGAACTATTATTTTAACTGATTTCAATTTCTTTATAAACAAATATTTTTTCGAAACAAATGGGACATGCATGCAGCTGAGCTGGCTATCTACAGCGCCTGGAGAGGATTGTAAGATATATATATTTAGATGTATATATTTGTTGTCCATAGCATTTGGAGTGCAGGCGCTGAGCTGCGCTCAAGGAACTTGGCTACTTGTACATTGCATATTTCCTCTACTATTTTTTATGTGTGTGAGTTTTTTTTCGCAGTTTGTTTTCTATTTTATTATCAACAAGTCACAAAGAACGTAATTCAACATGTCTACAAAATACAGTCCATGGTAAAAAAGCGCAGCACTAACAAGGCTAACTAACAAACAACAAAGCCACAATCCCAGCAGTCAGTCCATCGGATCGATCGATCCATGTGGATGTGATCATGTGGCATACTTTCAACGGGTGCACATTTCAGTTCCAGTTGCAGTTACATTTCTAGTTCCAGATTTAGTCCAGTTATCAGCCAAACAAACTAAAATAGCTGATCCGCCAAATTGCCAATAAACGTGGCCAGATTCATTGAGGAGCCTTCCTTGAATTTCAGTCCAATCGTTTTGCCATAGGCTTGTATGAAAATCGCCCGTACAGCGTTTAGCCGTTGCTTGCGTCTGTAAGAATATATTAATTATTTATTTTAATAAATATAAGGATATACGATTAAGTCTCTACAGTTGGAAGGAATCCATAACCATTCTTATTGGTGGGTTGTTCAATCTAAACTGATTTGCTCACTTATCGCTAAAAGACTTTACTATCTCAATTTTATAATCGATCGAATGGAACTTACAAATTAATGCTCTGCTTCGAGGCTGCTGCGCTGGCACTGGCCGCATCCTTGGAGGAACCATTAACGAAACCGTGCGTGTTGTTGCTACTGTTGCTGTTGCTGTTGCTATTGTTGCTCATGTTGCTCATGTTGCTCATGTTGCTCATGTTGCTCATGTTGCTATTGCTGTTGCTACTGCCGCTGGCACTGGGATAGGCGCTGGGCGTGGCTGTGCTGCAATGATATCCGTTGCCGCCATTGCACATTGGAATGTTGTCCGTCTGCTGATGCTGTGGTTGATGCTGCTGCGAGACAAAGCGCATCATGTAACTACCATTCATCATGGAGTCAATGGACCCGGTGTCTGTGACCACCTGCCAGCTGCCGTTCGATGACGTCGACTCCTGACGCTGGCGCGCATTCGAGCCGGGCACRGAAATTGGGCTAGTGCGCGAGCTGTGTGAGCAAGAGAATAAATTATGTTAAATAGTGTTTGCAAGATAATAATCCGAATATTTATGTATTACCGCTTCGGATTCGGGGATCGACTGGTGAGCGGATTAACGTGCGTTGATGGTGCAGTCGCTGCTACAGCTGCTGCTGCGGCTGTTGTTGTTGTGGCGTAGAAGTTATCTGTTATGGACATATCACAGTTRGAACAGTTTGAGTAGCTATCGTTGCTGTCTTGATCGAAGGCCAAAATGTAATCTCTGCGAGAATCCGAAAGAAAACAAATTTRTAAGTCAATARGAAGTAYAACTTAAATAATGTGAGAGCTGTTTGTCAGMGCTCTCTMTTACTTACTCCTTGAGTGGCTCATCGTCGCAGCAGTCGGATTTGATGACAATGACACTGCTGCCGCTGCTGCTGGACGTCTTCGTGCGCTTGCGGTGCTCCACAATGCTGAACTCCTCGTCGGTGATGAACTTGAGGAAGTGAAAGCAAAAAAACATGATGTCCTCGCCTCGCTTGAGGCGATCTGGCAGCTGGTGGCCAAATAAATACCAGTCGTAAGCGAGAGTAAAGTACGCCATTTGCAAAGCGTTCAGCGACTGATGGATGAGGCCGTCGGCCCAGAGCGATAGACGCACCAGGGAGACGAAGAGGGGCGTGCGATCCCAACCACTTATGCAGTGTATGAGCAGCCCTGAGTTATCCTCTTGTATATACTTAAGCGTGGCACGCAGATAGTTTTGCGTAATGGAGACCAGATCCCAGTCCCTGTACTCTGGCCAAATAATGTCAATGTCGGCGGCGGGTCCCGTATTGGGTATATTGATGTTGGCATCGTTAAATGACTGCTTCCAGTTGTAGTGTAAATTCTTGGCCATGTAATTGTTGTCCCGGAACTTTTTGAAAAACTCACAGCCCGGATACGGCAGCGATAGCAGGTTAAAGCCCTTATAGTGCTTATTCGGATCCGCCTTCTCCGACGAAGAGACGCTATAAAAGACAATTAATTAATTACTAATTCAAATTTGATAAATAATCGCAGGCGATTTATGCACTAGTTCGATAGMACGATTCATGACATTGAGTCGTTCGATAGCTCAAAAGAATGAATAGTTGAGAAACTCAATGGAGCATGAGCTGCAGAATATCGAATATCAACCGATTAAACATTATCGTTCACTAAATAAGTTCCGCAACAGTTTCTAAGAACTGATGAACAATTCTCCTGAGCTTTTTCTGAATGAAATTCTATTTTATTTGTATTTGTTGACTTACGCCATRAAGTATTTGATTTTGCGATTCTCTACCATGAGGTCTACTATGGTGGACACGTTCAATGTGTTCAGCAGTTGGATGTCGCTCTTGATGACTTCATCGTAGCTGAACTGTGACTGTGCCTGATCGTTGATGTGATTGATTAGTGACTCGTCCGTGGTGTCCGCCTCGTTCTCCTCGCCATTGGGCGCAGCATAGTTGCCGCTGAGGCAATCGTAGGCGTAATCCACAACCTTACGGCCGTACGTTTCCGGCATCACGGACAATGTGGCCGAACGGCAGATATATTTGCCCCGATACATTATAACGGGCACTGCGAAACGCTGCCTGCAGCGAGCATACTTCGCCATGGTCACCAGCTCACGTATGCGCTGTATATCATACTGATCCTCGTAGATTGTGTTCTGCTGTGACTGTTGGTGCGGCGCCTGCGGTATCGACTGCT